CATATTGTAAAAAGTTAACTATAACCGAATAAAAGGAGCCGGCCAAGAGGCCACCTTAACATCAAAAAAAAAAAAAAAATCATAATATTTTTTAATAAAAAAAAGATGACTATTATATTGATTCTAATTTGTAATTAATTACCTTATTAAATGGTATTAGTCCAAAATTTTAAAAAGCCTCAAAATGCTTAAACGACATATGAGATAAGGTTATGAGAAGAATTAATAATTAGTGCAGATGGTAAAGTCGAGCATAATCCATGTATTTTTCACTGTTTGCGTTATACATTTGGTGAATGCATTTACAACCATGAAACAAGATGTCCCAATTGTAATCAATTGTTCGACTTTATGGATTTTTTAATTGATTCAACACCTAAAACTGTTTATCCACAAATCACAGAATGCAGAGAACAATTATTATATTATTTTTCATATTAAACACGAAAAGTATATTTGAATGCCCAATTTAAAGCAATGTTATCTGAGCTTGATTCCAATAGTGCACTTTTTATTGCAGATTATAAAATACATATTCTACCTAAATTTGTACGTAAAACAAAAAAAAGATTTTTTTAGAAAGCGTGGTTAGACTTTGCACACAGTTTTAGTTTTTACTAAAAAAAATAAAACTGAAATAGATATTAAAGCATACGATCACTAGTTAGCGGATATCAAGCAGGATGCTTGGTTTACAGCATCAGCATTTGATGATGTTTTTAAGACAATAGACTGAAAACCCAAATAGATAAAGGTAATATCTGATAATAGTTCTTATTACCATAACTCTGAACTAATGACCATTATCAGATACTAGCACGAATAGTACAATATTGAGGTTCGGAGCTAGTTGTTTTTAGAACCTAGAGAAGCAAAAACAACTGTTGATTCACATCACGCAGCAGTTAGTATTTTTCTTTTTTGCAATTTTTTTTAAAAAAAAATAGATATCAACAATTTGTAAATTTAATTAGCAATTTTAATAATTAAACTTACATCAAAAAATAGCCTATATCGCATAGTAATTGTCTAATTATCATAATTATTATACTCATATTTTTAACCCATCTTCTATTTTCTACTTTTCAAAAACTAAAACAAATAATCTACTATTATGAAAGATAATTGAATAACTTCTATATACGACCAGAATAGCCACCAATTTTACGGGTCATATGAATATCGCCACCAATATTAATATACAATGCAGGATAGTGATAGCATTATAGATCCAATACTGATTCGTTTGCAATAATGCTACAGGTGGTATTACCCAGCTGACCCATAAAATCAGTGGCCACCCTGGTCGTATCTAACTTCTATATGATCACAGATTAAATTTCATAATCTTTTAAAACTTTTGTTGATACCTCTGCATTTAAGTATATAGTCTAATATATAACTACTTTTTAAAGATAACACATGCTATAAAATGATACTTATGAATCGGATGCAATATAGAAACTGGAAATGATATTTGTGAAGTGGCTAAAAATTTGTCAGGAACTTCAATAGCAAACATAGAACCAGATTGCAACGATATAGCTATTGAAGAAAATGAAAATATAAAATCAAAAAAAACCAAAAACAAAAATCAAGACAATTAAAGAAATTTCTAAATTGTTCTTTTGGGAATGGCCTGTAGAGGATAGGCATAGTGGATATATTAATGCATGCACACTGTCTTATCTTGAAGAATAGAATAATTTTTCCCCTGCATACTTAAATCAGCTTTTGAATGTTCCACTTTATAAGCCACAATCAACAAAATCGGAACATACGATACTGAAATCTACATAGACAATTCCAATAAATACAAGGCCTAGTGAGTATTACAGGTTGTTCAAACAAATTCAACAAATTCTTAAATTTAGATCTAAATTAGTATACTTCACTTACTCTAGTTGAAGAAGAATATGATAAAGGTAAGAACCATATCTATGTTACTAATCTTATATAAAAAATAGTTCTAATTGCTTGAAACTAAAAGATAAAACGTATTTGGATCAAAATAATGAAAAAGAAAATATGATAAATAATAGTAAGTAATATAGCTCTAATATACGTATATATTATATTTTCTACCTTTCATTCAAATATCCAATAAATTTATCTAGATCCTATAGTTTTAATCACAATTTCAAGGTATATAGTATAAAGAAACTAATAAATATTATAATTATTTCACCTGTTAATAGACTTTTACTATAGTATAATAGATGTAAGATTTCTGTTAACTAAAAGGTGAAAGTTAAAAGGTAGCCAAAAATTAGGTAACAGAGGTGGTACTAGAATAAAACAAGATATAAGAGCTATGTTAAAATATTTTTTTTTATATAAAAATTAAAGAAGTGAAGAAAGAATAAGTGCAAAAGCTATGCATGATGAGCTTCAGGAATATGCTGAAGATGGCAAGATAGAAAGGGAGGATGTTCCAAAATTCCAAACAATACAAAATTGATTAAATTCATATGCTCAAGCCTTTAAAAAAAGGGCAACAGAACATGAACTTGAATTAGTACATAAATAAAATATTATACAATTTGAAAGATAATTATAAGTAATAAATATCTTACCTTTCGCAAGGCTTAAGTTCTGTATTCTTAAAAATAAAATTTTCAATGATTCTATTAATCATGAGTAGAGCTTACTGATTTCTTATTTGAATAATATTCGAATAACTTAAATTAGCAAATATTTATTTGAATATTTGCCAAATGACTAATATTATTCGAATAAGTACTATTATTCAAATAATATGCTATTTTCAGATATGGTGCAACTAATAATATATAGCCACTATAATCATTCAAATAAAATTTGCCTATTCGAATTATTCATTGAATAATTCTTATTCGAATATTCGTTGAATATAAACATTATTCAAATAACGAAGCTTTAATCATGAGCAACTCTCTTTTTAAAGTCTAAATTGCATACCATTAATGAGAAACATGTATATACTTGAATCTTTCTAATTTGCAATAGAGATTCTCTGCCATATAATATACCCGGATATTATAAGTTTATAGTTTTCTGGTAGGCATTTCGTTTTAGATCTCAAATCATTAATTAGTGCAGTACGGTACTTAGAGAATTCTGTCTTAATAATTAACTGCTATTTTTTTGATTAGTTAGTTTCTTAGTAAGAAATAAAAAAAACTGACAACTTAAAAACCTTCAAATTCTTTTTCTTTTTTTTAAGAAAAAAAAAAAAATCACAGATCTAGGGAAAAATGTTATAAATCAGAGGTTATTACTTTGCATAAAACAAATCTCTTGACTTAACCAACTTTCTCTATATACAGTAATAAGCTCTTGTCGAATGGTTTTGTTTTACTAAAAAACTTTAATGATCTAATGTTTGTAGTATAAAAAGCTTAAGTGTGAAATTTTAAAAGTACTTAAATACTTAAATATTTACCACATAATTTAGGTTATTAAAAATTTGAGCATGCTTATTATTAATTTGAATTATTATAGAGTCTTATTTAGTAAATGCTATATTTACCCAAAGTAAACTTTTTGTAGAAAAATTTTTATGTTTCATAGTTTTGATATCAAAGCCTCGTAATATTCCTCTATTGTTTGTACTACATTTATAACTAAATTTACTTTAAATTTACTATCTGTACATATAAGCTTAAAACTTTAATTCAAGCTTTACATATATATGATCTGTGTCATTTTTATTATATAAAATTTGATCTGCTGACTGACAGATTATCAATTAAGCTAGATAGTCTAGTTATTATATAATATTTCTTTATATCTAAGCAGGTACCTTTTTAATGAAATAGTCTAGTAGGTTTTGCATTAGTACTATAAATTTTAAGAGTTCTCTATCTAGATTATTTAGTTCTTTTCTTATATATTTGTAGTAGCCTAGTTAATAAAGATGCTTTCTAATACTATATTTTATCTTTTGTTTAGTTTAGTTTGTATAAGATTTATTTTTTAGATCTAATCTTTATAGTAGTTTTGTTAAAGATCTATACTACTTTTTACTAGTTTTGCTAAGCAGACTTTTATATTTGCAATTTTTTAGATTTATATAGTCTAAGAGTTTATTTTATATTTATACTACTAATTACTAGTTTGTATCTTTTTATATAACATTTTTGTTATATAAATACTTCAAACTTTTTAGATTTGCTAGTATGACTATAGTTATAGATATTCTATTCTAACTGATTAACTAAATATAATTAGCTATAATATAAACAGAATTTTTAAATTTTTGTTACTAGTAAAATTTAAACTTTTGATATACTATTTAGAGAATAACAACTTGACTATTTTACTATATACTATACTTCTAATAATATATTATTTAATACTACTTAAGCTTCTAATATATAGTAACTAGTTATTCAATAGTATTTAACTTTTTCAAATAATCCTTTAGTTAACACTTTAAAAAATTCAAACTACAAAAAAATTCTATAGAAAATACCCAAAGCAGATAATATTTTTAGTTCTGCAGTAACAAGTATATTATTAATAAAGTATTAAAAATATAAAACTAAGAAGTAAACTGGTTTTTATAAAGGTCAAACTTCTGCTTAACAAACTTCTTTATTATATTTAGTATCTATTCAAAAGAATACTTTAAAAATACAATATGACTAGATTGATATCAAGAATATTAAAAACTAAAGAATATTTCTATATAATTATAAATTTACAAAAAACAATTTATAAAACTCTGTTAGCTTCTTACTTTTACTTAAGAAAATTTTTCACAAAAATAAGTAATTTAGTTTACTTTCTTAAAAGATTAATATTCTAATTTTTAAATTAGTTACTATTGTTTAGTATTCTGAAATATTTTGAATATAGTAAATTTTGTTTATACTAATTAAACAAAAGATCAAAAACACATTGGCTATATAATTTAATAAATAAACAATATTCCAGACCACCAGTATTCTGATCAATTCCAACTTCTTTATCTTGAATGTCAAAAAAGCTTGTAATCATATATACATTTGCTTAGATATGTTAGTTAATATAGTTAGTTATAAAGACTTTTATATTTAATTGCTTATAATTTTTAAAAGTCTAATACAAGCCAATAACATACATCAGCAAAATATTTATATAAAAATTTTCGAAAGAATTTGCAAGGCAAAAAATTTCGAAAAAATTGCATTTATCACGAAATTTTTCGAAAAAATTAAAATTTCAAAAAATTTCGAAAAAATAATCAAAAATATGCGAAATATTTTGCAATAAATTTCGAATTAAAATTTTTATAAATTTCGAAATTTTTTGAAATATTTCGAAAGTATTTCGAAAAATTTCGAAAAATTTCGAAATATTGCAAATTAGGCCGCACAAATTTAATATCTTGGTTTTCATAACATGAAACTTTTAAAAAGACCCGGCCGGCCGGTCGGCTTTTTTTTTAAATTTTTTTAAAAAGCCTACCCGGTTATTAAAACATATAAAAAATTTTTTTTACAACATTTCAAATTTTGACCCGGCCGGGTTATGAAAACCAATTAATTAATTTTGCATGGCCTTATATTTTAACAACAAAATTTCTTATAAAAGTTTAATATAGGCTATGCTTTGCCTAATTCTAACCTTAGCTTTAGTTTAACTAAAAATTTTACTTTTTGTAAAAAAATAATTGTTTGATTTACATGTTATACCAAACTTGTATTTACATATAGAGTAACACGATAATGCTATAACTCTATAATATTTCCTAAAAAAAAAAAACGAATAAATTGATATCTATGGTTATTATTATTATTATTTGATTTATAAAATTAATTATGATATTTCCATCTTTAGATATTCTGCACAGTAGATATACTAGTTAATGAATCTAATTTAGGCTCTTCTTTCTGTATAGATGACGGTTGTACTGATGTCGACTCCACAACGGATGTATTTTTTTGTCTTTTTGCACGAATCATTGCCATTCTTGCATCCAATTGTGCTTTTCGTTTTTCTTTAATGCTTTGATGACTAGATCGTTTCGTTTCGGTCTAATAAAATGAAATTTAGTTAAAATATATGCAATTTTATAAACAGCCTATTGTAAATATGTATGTACCTCAAGTCTCATCTCTTTTAATGCACGCATTTGTTCTTCACGCTCCAGCTCATCTTTTGAGAAACGATAAAAACCAACACCCTTTGTACGGATTTCTATGAAAACATAATAAAGTGTCCATATATCAATGGTGATAAGAGCATTTTGATACGCAAACATTAGTTAAAAAAAACACTTTACCCTTTGTTTCATCGTAGTGAAGTGGACCGCCATCTAGTGTAAAGTTCATATTTTAGAGTTATTAAATATATCATATGTTACAAAAAGAAAGTACGTACTTTTCAATTCTTCCAAAGCCGCTTCTTCCCATAGTCGCCGCTCTTGTTCCATTGCTGATATATCTTCAGCTTCTCCTTCACCGGGTAGCAACGTACTAAAAGACATCGTTTCGATTTTTTTAATATGAATATTTAAGAAAATATAATCTATTGAAGTCCGAAGGAAACATCTTAATGCTCATTAACATTTAGTTATTTTAATCAACTATTAGAACATGTTAACACACAGACGTCAGGCGTACTATTGCATTAGTTTTCTTCGGACAACTTTTGGATAATAATATTAAATAATACCTTGGAGGTGAGGACTCTTCCTTTGGGACTTGACTTTTACGCGCCATGCGCGTTCTTCCAAATTCATCAGTGTATTCTATCCATGGATCATTCTCAGTATTTGTTTTATCCTCATCATCATCCTGTATAAAAAAAAAAAAATAAAAAAAAAAAAAAATAAATAAATATATAATAATAATAATAATAATAATAATGCTGAGTAATCGAATGTATATATAAATACGCAAAAGAGAATTTAGCAATGCATTCACTAACCGATATATGTTCCAGTGCTTTACGATCAAAATCAACCAAGATTTCTTCAGCAAGCTTCTCATCTGTATACAAGACACATAACAATTAATGAATTTTAAAAATTAAATGGAATACAATTTAAAATACAATTTAAATCGTACCACTAATGCCAGTCTTTTTCAATTGATCGTATAATTTAGCTTTCCTTTCCATTACTATTCGACTGGCTTCCAGTGTCGGTGCTTCAACGATTTCTAATTCATCTTTCTGAGATCTTTCGTTTACTCCCCTATTTTGACGTTCCCATAGTCCTGATTTCTGTGTGATCAGTTAATGTTAAGTAAAAATTGTATAGAAAAAATGAACGCGCTTGCTGCTAACCTTTACGACCCTTCTTAGAGCTGCAGAACCGGGTTGATTATTTACTGCTGCTTTTTGTTTTCGAAATTCTTCTTTCTGTTTGAAAAGTTCAGCCTTAAGATCTATAACCTTTTAATATAAAAAGTATATTTCGTCAGAGAATCTGTTTATAAAATAAATTGGGGGAAGAATAGAATGAGTTTCTCACCGAAGCACTACTAATATCAATTGTTCGATTTGAGCCTTGCATAGTAAAATACTTAATAACGGTAACTGGTTAGTTCAATGAAAATTGATGTATGGTGTAAACCAAGTCAATAAATTTTGATGATCTGCGAAAATTATTGGCACGTGCAAATTAGAATACATTTGCATCATTTAGGGCAGAATTAAAGATTAAGATTGTTCTCGTCCTCAAACTTTAGAAGCGGCAGAGACCACTTGAAAAATGGCTACTTCTGAAGGAATTTCTACGTTTCAAAACCTTTTATACGTAGCTGATCAGCCAGTTGAAAATATTGCAGACACTTTTAAAGGTTTAGTGCCTGAACAGAAAAGGTTTGAAGCTGCTTGTACGTTAATGGCGATGCTTGAAGATGGCGACCTACAGGTTCGTCATTGCTAACAAACAAAACTCGTAGATTTGTTTCGTTCTCTTTAGGAATAAAGAATTTGATGCCCAATTAATAATAGCCATTTGTATTTACACTTGCATTCCTACTTTAACTATAGGCAAACCAACGAATTGTTGCCCTTTATATTCTATACCATTTATATAACATCGTTCCTATCCATGAAAATCCATTCCTTTTGCTATTTCTGAACCTTTATAAATCGCTTTTCTCAAATCTTGCTTTTGTCAAAGCTAATTATGATTTGTTGGTTGAATTTCGTGTGGAAGCCCTAATTTTAGCCGACAAAGGAGCTCAGGTATCTATCTAATGGCATGTGAAAATTCGCCATTATTTATGAGCCTTATATTATTAAGATGACGTGTCAAACTTCCTAATTCCCTTTTAAAAAAAAAAAAAAAATTTAAATTGATAGTTGGCACATAAAACTCCAACTGATATATTCTTTCAGTTTTCAAACACCGAAAATTCACTAATGGATACAGAGGAAGTCAACATTGCGAGATTTGAGCATTATATTAAACTTGAATTTGATGTTCGACCAAAAGGACAACTAGAAAGGTATTAATTATTTTATTTATTTATTTATTTCCTTAGTTTAATTCAGTGTATGTACGCATATAACTGTATGAATTCTTGTTAAAGGCAATTGGAAACCAAAAAATCACAGTCTTGGACTGAAATTGGTGATAAAGAAGTCAGAGAAGTTTCATATACTCCTCCTTCCCAAGTTTCAGTAATAAAGCATGAGGTAATATGTGGAAGTTATCTTAATTACTTTAGTTAAAAGCTCTGCTAAATGATTGTCCCTTTATTATGTCATGTATCGCAGCCTCATCCGCTCGAGGTGGAAATGGACTATAACATGCTGGCAGACTTAGATCGCGATGAAGTCCGGTCTTTGATGAATAGAGCGTTGCAAGGAGCATTGTCGATACCGGAAGAGGAGGTTTGTGAATGAGTCGAATGTGCGTTAAGAGTTAATCATATTAAATATTTTTTTTTATGTTTTTAGTTTATATTAAAGCAACTTGAAAAGAATGATAAGCTTATCTATACTTGCGACTTTTCTCCGGAAAAGCTTCCTTTCCTGATCGAAAACAATTCAAGAGTTGCCATAAAAGTATTATTACAACTTAAATCGTCACCACAGATTGATCAGTGAGTAATCAAGTATATTATGATCAGTTTTTAAATTTTCGTTTTGTTATTAGACCCAAAACATTTACTTGTTAGATATTTGGAGACGCTTTTGACTATCGACGATCCAGAGCGGTCCCAGCAGTCTTCCATGGAACCGGTTAACAGAATGAGATCCTCAATGGAAGTGGTTAATAATCTTTTATCGTCATTCCCACTCACACCAGAATTTCTTCACTTTTATCTCTCCAATTGTGTACGTGCTTGTGAAGAATGTCGAAATAGGAATATACAAGATCGTCAAGTTCGTCTTGTAAGTTTGCTATATTATCACAAACAACCAATATAATTATGTCGCTATCACATATGGCCTAACTCATACCTACCAATTAGATCTGCGTCTTTCTTCAGTCACTTATTCGTAAAAATATAATAGATGTTAACAGATTTCTTATTGAGATACAAGCATTTTGCCTTCAATTCTCGAGAAATCGAGAAGCAGCTAGCTTATTTAGGTTTTTACTTGATTATCAAAAGGAAGCAGTTGCCGAAGAGGTGGTTGTTTTAAGTGACTTATTGAATAGCAGTGATATTAATGGTGAGAACGGTGACCATTCGGGAAAATGTGAATTATCATAGAATTATTAATGTTAAATATTCATGTATAAATATTGTGTGTGATAGACAATAGCATTGTAAAATAGAAACCTATAATAATTATTGAGCACACAAATTTGTTTTTTGTTTTTTTATTGAATGCATAATGGCATATCAACTACAACTTTGCACGTGATCGATATGGACGTGGTCAATATTAAGACACGTAAATTAGACGTTCAAACTACCGCAAGACAACTGCAGCGTGTCTCAACCCAAGATAATCTTGAACAACACCTGGCGCCAATTGCTTTATCTCTTTATATACTTCAGCGGAGTGATATCGAAGACGAGTTTTCGGATCCGTATATTTTCCCTAATAGTTGTTTGCATATATACAAAACAGATGGTTAGATAGCTTTAAAATAATTTAAAATATTTAAAATGCGAATGTTATATTACCTCTAACCCTGTAATATCGCAATACTTCTTTTGTGGTATTATTGAAGGTGGTGCTTCTATGTTTGAATCTAAAACATTCCATTACTTAGAAATGTGCTATATATGAACTTAGGAACCATGAAAAACATACAAGTTGGTATATCCAATGGAACTTTATTATTCCTTTCAGCAGCCAGCATTTGCTTAACATTTTTAAATTTCTTGGCTGTTTTATAATGTGGATTCTTGAATGGTTTATGAACACTATTAAGATTTAATGGCATTGGAAAATTGTTACTGGGTGAAGGTGGACCCGTTGGTGTATCAATTGGAGTAGCGATTGTTGAAACTTCTGAAGCTGCATCCTCTTCTACGATTTGTTCTGACATTTCAGTTTGAAAAGTTCCGGTTGATTCTGTTTTCATAAAAATATCGCCATCGTATTGAGGAGACACTTCGGCTTTTGTAGCAGCTTCAGCGGCAGCCTTTTCCTAGCGCATTAAAAAAGAACTTTTATGTCAGCAGAACTTAATCACGATAATAAATATAAAATCAATAATGAATTATTTCTTATCTATTAAACCTTTGCGGCTCTTGTTACACTTCTAGTGGTAGTTTTTTTTGGATTCCTTTTTTGAACGAAAGAAGCCATGACTGTGATTCAATTTAATTCGCGCTCCGTTCTTTCAAACATCTAATAATGATTGGTTAAACAGCCCGTGTCACTAAGATTTCTATATAAACGCAAATATTTCGAACTTTTTATCTAATCAAACATGTTCAAAAAGTAATGTTATGTTTTATTAACTGTTATAACCACTATACTTTTTTATCAATACTTCTCTGACCATTCACAGGTTCAATATAAAAGAAGACGTAGCTACTCAATCCTTGGTAAAAACTTCAGTTCAACGAAGTATTCGTTCTAAAATTCTTGAACAGTATAAAAAGTTAGAACCAGTAATCGATGAAGTCTTACCCAAGAAAGCTTTTTTAGTTTTGGTAAAATGGTAACATAATTTTTTTTTTTTCGCTAGTTTGACCAACAGACCGTTTGCTGTATTTATTAATATCATAATATCACATATTATGAACATCTTTAGTCACGAACATATTAATTTATTAACTATAAATAACGAGATATTATTCTTTCAACACTTTGATGGACCTTATTATCCAACACTGCGATTACTTCATAAATGTAATATTATTTATAGACACATTTATTATTGACTATGTTCTCAATCTCATTTTTTTCTTTAACATTTTCACACACAAATATATATAGATCCAGACGCTTTTCCAAGGTTACAAGTAGATAGGGGCGCAATTAAATTTATCCTATCCGGCGCAAACATAATGTGCCCCGGTTTAACGAGCAAAGGCGCTAGAATGGATGAAGACTTACCAACTGATACTATTGTTGGTGTGTTTGCCGAAGGAAAAGAACATGCTCTTGCAATAGGACTGACAAAAATGTCTACCGAAGACATGTAAGTTTTAATATTATTTCTGGATGCACAATATGCAAATTAGTCTTAATATTATTCAATGACTTTATTTCATATAGTAAAAAGATCAACAAGAATATAGGTGTTGAAAATGTTCACTACTTAAATGATCCATTATGGAAGAGTTTTATAGAAGCATAGTTTAATAGAAATGAAAACGTTCGACCTGATAGATATCTAGATAGTTATTCGCTTTGCACTTAGAATAATAAATTTCTATAAAGCAGATTAAATTAATGCTCGTCTAGCGGTTAATATGTCCACAAAAAAATGAATTAGTTGAATGGTATTGGTATTTGTTTTTAAAAAATTTGTAAATAATAAAAATTTAATACGAAGAGATAGATTTAAGCAAAAATAACTTAGAAACCCAGCTTTGAAATTCGGATGGTGCTAAAATTAGTGTCTGATTAGTCAATTAGTAAGAATGCACTTAATCATGTGATGGCGCAAAAATTTGGCAGACCCAATCCGATTGTGTAACATACAAATGCAAGAAAATTAGACTTTGGTTATTAAATAAAAGTTTTCTACTTTATATTAATGCAAACAGATATCATTGTTTTTAATTAGTCACGGGACCGCGCCATCACTATTCACTCATTTGTTATCCAGAAGCAAGTAACATCGAAGATTGAAATTTTATCGACTGTTTGCTATACAAATTTATGACTTGCAAATAGGAAGTTATAAATTTGTATAGATAAAATTTCAATCTTCGATGTTACTTGCTTCTGGCAAATTTAAAATCAGATTCGTTGACGATTTATTGTATTTTTGTATATGGTGTTACTATGAAGATCGACAACCAATCAAATGGATTTTCCACCATGCTGTTATCGATATACTAAATTTTGTACTTTAGAGATATTCCGAGAATAAGCTCCTCCCGAAAAACTGATCTAGCGTTACCTAAAAAATTTCGCTGGTAGATTAGGGTTGGGTTTTGTCATTAAGTTAGGTTAGAAAGAGCTCTAGTAGCACCAAAATTTCGCAAGGAAAACTTTTTGTTAGCGCGCAGAGCATTGAAGAAGTTCGTTTTGATTGGTTAATTGCAGATCTCGGATCATCGGATTGTACTTCGGAACAGGTTTCAGATCAAACTCCTAGTTGGTACGTACGTACGTACAGTCAGTGTTATACACGGACATTGTCCCGCCAATTTTACAAGGATACGGACAGTCCGGGACAATGTCACATGTCCGCAACAATGTCCCGACATGATATTGTACACGGACAATGTCTAACTATGTCCGGGACATGTCCACCGGGAAGAAATGTATTACAGTACAAATCTATAAAAAAGTGGTTACGTACCATAATGATACGTAGTTTAATTTGTGTAATACATATTAGTTGTGTAACAATATAAGATTTACAAAGCGCTAATCGTTTACGTATTTACTATAACGATAAAAAGTATCATTTAAACTATCTTTAATATATATGTATATTCGTACTGTATCGTACCCCTTCTAAATTTCACATAGTACAGTACTAAATTATCTTCCGTACAGTACGAAGTATATGTATATTCATAAAAACGCCGAATATCCACATTTCGTCATAGATTAAACAAACAAAAATGTCAACATCCGTTTACAAGGAACTAATTCACGGTCTTGAGAACAGATTAAGCAATATTAATTTAAACAATTCAAACAACAAGACCGAATTTAATCTCAAGCAAATTAAAATATTAAATACGTGTCGTTACAACAAAGGAACGTTTATATTAAATCAGACCATTTGATGAAGTAAAATGTTACAAATGTGGTTTTCTAACATTCCAAAAACTCGACGAAAAAACTATGAATCCGAAAAAAATTAAAATACAATTATATATTAATAAAATAGGCAAAAATACAATGACGACCCTATATGATCGGCCAATTATTTTTTTTAGATTGGCGATCATATTATGTATTTTGATTCATAATACTAAACATAAATAAAATAATTTTTTTTTAGCTAAAAACAAATTATATCGTTTATTTATTTATTTATACAGTCAAACCTCCGTTTTTTTTGAAACGGACTCGTATAAATTTTTACCGGAGTTTTTAAGTATGACAGTCAGGGATTTAGAGGGTATTCTAAAACCGATTTCAATTTAAAAAAAAGGCATTTTTTATAATCTAAAAATATCA